CTTTTAGTTTTTGCCTCTGATTTCCTTACAGGTGATCTAAGACTGATAAATTGTACTTTAGGAAAACTACTATTTAAAAATAAAAAAGCTTAGTCTCAATAAAAGAACTTTGATAAGCTTGACTACGTATTTAGAAAGCACACTGTGTTGAGCAAAGCTTTCTATGTAATAAATAATGAAGGTAACAAAAAATCATATTGGATGACTAGTCTGTAATTGCCTCAAGGAAAGCATTCAATGAAACAAGTTATTTTGGTTACTTTCTCAAACAGCCAACACAATAGGGCAAGTGGAGGAAATGTCCCGTGAACATGATAAACAGAGAATTGAAAACCTAACGTGTACACTTGGAGAAATGACAACATTCGAAAACAAAACCAACAAAAGGGAACACCCCCACCCCATGACCTGAGATGCATGAAAGGCAAACATTTCACCAGAGTTGGAGTTTTACTAAGTCAGCAACAGAGTAGCATGTCTGACCTTCACTATGATTAACAAGCACTTCTTTGAAATTGTGTTGGTGGGGCTGGCCTCTTCCACTATCTTCTCTCTAGAATTGAAATTGGTTCTCTTTCAGCAGAGAAGAGTGAACAGAGAGAGTATAAAACTCTTAAATGAATTGCAAACCTCATCGGTTCAGCAGTGTCTACCACACCGGAAAAACTTCCTGCTCCCTGAGAAGCCAGTGAGTCCACAGCACTACCAGGAAGGACATGCACTGGCCCTGCTCCATGAGACACTGCAGCAGATCTTCAACCTCTTCAGGGCAAATATTTCAGTGGATGGTTGGGAGGAAAGCCACGTGGAGAAGTTTCTCATTGAACTGCATCAGCAGCTGGAATACCTAGAAGCTCTCACGGGACTGGAAGCAGAGCAGAGAAGTGGGACTGTGGGTATTGAGAAACTCAGGTTACAGGTTAAAATGTACTTCCGAAGGATCCGTGAGTACCTGGAAAACCAGGAATACAGTAGCTGTGCCAGGACCATCGTCCAAGTCGAAATCAATCGGTGTCTATTGTTTGTGTTCAGACTCACAGAAAAGCTGAGCAAACAAGGAATGAGCCCTTGAATGATGAGGACCAAAGCCCACCACAGACTTCAGAAGCAGCCAGGGTAGCTGAAGGACTAGAGGACTTCTCCAGACACTGTTATTTCTATTTGTTGTAAAATGGTTAGTATTGTTTTGATTTTGTGTATATGTATTTATCTGTGTTTTAGGATTGTGCATATTGACCACACATTGTTCTTTTATAATATTGCGCTGTATTTTCTATCCAGTTTAATTGTTCATAAGTTGAAATAAATTCATTAAATATTTTATAACTGGTTCTTCAAATTTATGTATGTTTACAAAGTCTGGCTGGGTTGATGTAATGAGATATGCCTGCAATGTAATACTACTTTCTTTAACATAGAACTCCATTCCAATGATTTTATTTACTAGCCATTGGTATGGATAATGAGAAATACTAGGAATAATTTGCATTGTAAGGTTTGAAAATATTATGTAGTCAATAGTTATATTATAGGAGATACGATAGAAATATGACCAAGGACATGAACAAAGTTTTCAGGAGAAAAAAGGCGTGAAAAGAGGTTCAACCTCACTCATAATAATAAAAACACAAATTAAATAACATGCTATACTGTTTATCCACACAAGGACACACAGAATGGTCTAATGGATGTTGGAAACGCAAAAGGAGGGAAGATGGAGGGCGTGATAGTGGGTACAGTTGTACTCTATAGTTGTACTATCAGTACACTAAAAGCCCGGACTTCACCACTGAACCTGTAGACATGTAACAGATTCAACTTGTATCCCCTAAATCTATTGACTTTTTTTTAGAAATACATCGTGATGACTATAATATATATATACTACTATCTTGTATAATGGAAATTTTCTGAGAATAGATTTTGTGGCTCTTACCAGAGAAAAAAGTAACTATGTGAGCTGACGGATATGTTAAATTGCTTACCTGTGATATCATTTCACTATATATGTCTGTATCAAACATCATGATGTATGGAATACACCTTAAATGTATTGAATAGAAAATTTAAAAACCAAGGACATAAAAAAACACACCACTTGTAACTAGCAGATAGATAAAAACCCAAAACTTGATTTAAAATAACCTACTCTGTTGAAGACATTCAGGGGATGCACTTATAATTTTCTGGAGCACTAGAAATTGGTACCATCGCTATGGAGACAATTTGGTGATGTGTATTAACATGACAGATGCATCTTGATCCATCAAATCTAGGGGTAGAAACGTATCCCATCAAGAATGGAAGAAAAAGTATCCAATGTACTTAGTCCTACTATGAAACTAATTTATAGCTTTCATAGGAAAACTATAACCCAATTATAGCCCAAGAATATGGGGAAAGGGGGGAGGGTAGGGGAGAGGGAAGGATGGATGGAGGGAGGGTTATTGGTGGGATCACGCCTATGGTTCATCTTACAAGGGTACATGTGAATCTTTCTAAATGTAGAATATAAATGTCTTACACAATAACTAAGAAAATGACATAAGGCTATGTTAACCAGTTGATGAAAATATTTCAAATTGTATATAAAAACAGCACACTGTACCCCATGACTATATTAATGTACACAGCTATGATTTAATTAAAAAATACTTGCAACTGTGTAAAATGACTTATAACCCTGTTATAATGAAAGGAGGCACAGAGGCCAGCAGTCAGGATCACATAAGTGCTGACTTCGCAGTGTGGTTCAGACGTTGACTGGTTTACTTTAAAGTTCACAGGGATGTAGGAGAAACACACCACACTTGGCTGCAAATCAAGGTTACTTTGCTTCTCGTGGTCTATAGAACTTTTCGTTGTTCTTGAAATCAGGAAGTTTTCAGAACCAACTTCTTCATTTAACATATTGTTTATTTCTTAGATTAACCTTGCAAGGTACTTTCTGTTATTATCCTTTGTTCTCAAGTGAGAACAAGACTCTAAAGGTGAAGTCATATGCTCAGAGTAACACAGCAAGCCACAGAGCTAGCAAATGCTACGGCAGAGATTTCACCCCAACTCAGTCTGACTCAGAAGCCTGCACTGTGTTTTTGACGCAACAGACCTGAACAACATTGTGCAATATCACTGCAAAATAGTAATAACAGTAACGATCATAATCCACTCCTCGCTTTCTTTATTCAAGTTCCCACAGTCATGAATTAAACAAGGGACACTTCCCACTCCTAAACATTTCTTCCTAAAAACTAACAAGAACAGAATGGAGGAGCTGTCAACTGGAAATGTTTATTTTGCAGGTAATACTCTTAATTTGAAGCTTAACCCAATTTTTTAGTGCTAATATATTTCTTTCTAATTTAGCATCATTAAGTTGACATCTTGTCTGTATAACCATCTCAATGGCTAGCACAAAATAAAAATTTCTTGCTTTTAAAATGCTCTTAAAATTTTTTAAAAACAAAGTTCTATGCTTAGAGATATAGGAGAAGAAAAATGCGTTAGAAGATTGGCCTCCTGTCTGGTCGGGCATTGCTGCATCACTGCCTCTGGCAGGGGCTTGAAGGAGAGTGAGTCTGTACAATGGCTGGTCTTCGGCCTTGCAAGACCAAATAAGCAATTATTCTTTCATTTTTTCCTCAGAAGTAATCAGTTGTGAGGCAAAGAAAAAGACTCACAAGAGACTCACTTTAAATAAGAAAAATGTATTAACTATACTAACTCTGTCTGGCAGAATAATGAATGTTAGTCCTTGTCTTTGAGTACTTCACATGGTTCCTTAATCCACTCAGAACCTGGATGATCTCAAAGAATATCATTGTTACTCCCTATGGCTAGTTAATCATATGAAAATATTAAAAATAAGAATATTATCAAGCATCTACTATGGACCAGGTATTGTTCTAAGCATATTAATACTTGCAGTTTAATCTTCTGAACATTCTGAGTATGCATTCATCTACGAAATGTTCTAGTTTCTTTTGTACACATCAGTTAACAAAACAAGCAGATGTCTCTCCTTTATCCCCATGTTACAAAACAGAAGACACAGCCAGAGAGAATAATTTTTTTTTTTTTTTGCAGTTTTTGGCCAGGACTGGGTTTGAACCTGCCACCTCTGGCATATGGGGCTGGCACCCTACTCCTTTGAGCCACAGGCGCTGCCTTCTAGGGAGAGTAATTTTCCAAGTTCATAGTCTCATGTTGAGATCCAAGCCTTCTAACTCTATGGCCTGGGCCTTTTGCCACCTTCTAGAAACATCACTGTCCACAAGAACCAAAGATGTTAAGAATCTGAGCATCCTTTCTCCAGGACAGTCTTAGATAAATACTGGTATTTTCTCTCCAATTCTCAATTGTCTCAGTCATTAACTGATATATTCTTTCATGACAGACATTTTACAGTACAATAAAATTGTCATCACTTTCATTACACCTTTACAAACCAGTCTTGTCTTCTTGATTGCATTTGTTAAATGCCTCCCTTGAACAGCACAATGTTTTCTAAAAGTTGAGTTTGGGTGCTATATGCATATTACCTTGTATGAAAGATTCATTTTCTGTGTTTAGTGAATTTCCACTCTCAGTCTCAGATTGGTTTCTCCAGCAATTAATCATCCTGCACCTCAAACTACCTTACACTGTAGCAGGAGGCAGAGAACCATAAGATAGCAGCCCACCATGATCTTCATGAGGAAGACCAGGTGACTTCCACATTAGCCAAATAACAATACTTACATGTAACAAACTTGACATCCATTTAATCAGTGCAAGTTAGAGCCCAAGATACCAAGATTTGACAAGTTCCCTGCATTCCAAGTTGTTAAGCTGCTCCTGATAGATTGATAATATTTGAAATATTTTCATCAACTGGTTAACATAGCCTTCATGTCTATCAGGAGCAGATGTTGGTAGAACTTCACATTTCTTCATGCTCTCTTTCATTTACTTAGCAAACATGCAAAAGGGCTTTGTATAGTTTCCTCCAAGAAGGATCAGAACTTAACCCCTGAATACCATGCAATGAACTCTTGAGTTCCATCCCAGCTTAATGAGTGTAGACAGGATTGGTGCTGCTCCCTGTGCCTGGCTGGTCCTCTCTGGGGCCTTGTCCACTGCCGTGCAGGATATTGATAGATGCCCAGATGTGGCCACATTCACACTTGGCTTCCCCCAGTGGACACTGCACAGTGATGCCCCATAGATGGTTCTAGCTCCCATACCCCCCTCCCAATACCCAACACCCATCTTCTTCCCCAGCAAACCACACACGTGCCACGAGATTGAGGTCCAGAACCATGCTGGGACTTGTGCCTGGCGGCTGCACAGTCAGCCCCCACTCAGCTTCCCCAATACTTTTATAACTTCTTGGAATTGAACAGGACTTGGCTTCAGAGACTTTTGGGTTAAGATGAAAGTGTAGAGCTCAATTACATCTATTACAAATCAGGCTTGTCATCTTTATTATATTTGTTAAATGCCTCCCTTGAGCAGCACAGGTAGGAGAATCATTTCCCACCAAATATATAACATAAGATGAACAAAAAGTCACGGTACAGAGCTACTTAGAAGTTTTCCACACTAAACATCTACAATAGGATGAACAAGCAGTAAATTACACATATGTCTGTAAGTGTATATATATGTGTGTATCTGTCTCTATATGTATGTATTCCTATAATATCCCATGAAAAGAAATGATCATAATATTTGAAATGTGTTAGGCAATAAAAAAAGGAGACATAGAGGAAGTCAAGAATTGTCAAGCCTTTCCCGCTCCTAACCTGGTTCCCTCACAAGAAATAGCAGAAGAAAGAAAGAAAACAGACAAAAATCTATTAAAATATTGCTAGGACCATCCCCACCCACAATTTATAAAGGTGCAAACTAAATCATTAGCTAGGTTGTCTGAGATAAAAAGAAACTCTCCCAAATTGACCTCCCTTCTTAATGACTGAGCAATGCACACCCCCCCACACACACATACACACAAATCCTGCTTAACTGCAGTGCACAAGTACAGTATTGCACAACCTGCAGTAACACTTGCCAAAATCTACCAGCATCCAT